TCTAGATTAAATTCCCAGAAAAAATTGCTGAGTCAAAAGATACGCCCATGTAAAATTTTGATAGATAATTTAGAGGTGCTCTCAAAACATAAGCTGTACCTGTTTATGCTCCACCATAATGTATAAGAGACAGTACCATTTCCTACTACTCTTGTCAACCTTGGATAGTATCAATCTTTTAAATTTGCTACTGATATGGGCAAAAAAAAGTTATTCATCTGTAGCTTGTATAATTATTATAAATAAGTAAATATCAATAACCAGAGGATGCTAGAAAACTAAACAAGAGAAATGTGTCATTTGCTTTCAGGTCAGTGCTGACAGTTGCTTGTGAACAAACTGAAGTTCTGCTTTTTGACCCTATATCTTCAAAGCACATAAAAACACTTTCTGAAGCTCATGAAGACTGTGTAAATAATATCAGGTTAGTATTATAGTGAAAAAGTGAATTTTATTAGTGTGGCCCAAAATATTCTGTTTTGGAAGTTAGTGAAAATGTATAATGCCTTATTCAACAGTGCTGAATCATCCACATTTGTGAATTGTGAGTCTAATTCCTTGTAAAACTTATTCCTCTAATTAGAAAACTTAACTGGTAATGATTTTGGATTGGAATCTTCCTGAAATACTTCTATATGATTTCACCTTTTCTCTTCATATATCAGGGTCATCATTATGCTGGTCCTGTAATGCCTTTGTGCTAATGATCTGTGTAGAATTATGGCAGTCTCATTGGTTAGCATCTCTCACCACCACCCCTCCACTCCCCAAATCCAAACTATTAAGAGGAAAAAGCACATGTACAGAGAACTTCTTTGTAGCATTGTTGGAAACTCTGTAATTCTCAGTAATGTGGGAAGTAATTTACCATTGAGAAGTTTAGTGATTAATATGTAGTCATTAAAATGATGGTCATAGAGACTACATAGCAACATAGACAAATGCTTGAGATAATATAGGTTAAAATTGTGATAAAAATTATACAAATATGAAATGATGTAGAAGGAAAAAATTAAAAGGAAATATTTTATAATGCTAACAGTAGTTAGAATGGCTAGGCTATGAACAAATTTCTGTTTTCCAAACTGTACATAATGGGATTATTATACTTTTATAATTACTACTTTTAATGTTCTAAAAAAGAGAAATATGAAAATTACTTCTAGTCAAGGAAACACACTGCATTTCGATGTAACCTCTATGCTCCAAACACTGAACAATAGATTAAATTACATAGCACAAAAAATATAGCCAGGTTCTAAAACAACGTAAACATCTTTGTGGGCCAGAAATAGAACACAAAGCTGAGAAGTCTGAAACCACAGGCCCACTGGGTTTCAGTTTAACACTGACATTTAATAGTTTTGCTCTTGTCAGGTAAAAGGATTAAAAAGTGCTAAAGTGCTTCATGTGAGGCAGGAACTAGAGCCAGAATCACTACATGAAGCCAGGGGTTTTGGTTGAAATGTCTGTCTCATTTGTAAAAGTCTGAAAAAAGATAAAATCTATTCACTACTTGGATCTATAGGTTTTAGCTGATAAAGACACAGCCTCATCAA